AGGTTGGCAGAGTAGGAAGGTCTGTTGGGGTGTGCAAGGAAGGAAACTGTTATGCAGAGATCAGGTGACTCGCCCAAGATCACTCACCTAAATCACAATAAAGCCTGTTACAGCTGCCAGGACAACTGTATAATTAATTACAGAGCATAGAATGCATTCAGCCAATAAGCACCAACTGGAGCCTTCCAAGTACAGGGTCTTGGTGTTAGGGGCTCAATACTACTGATGAAGAAAAGGATTAGAGAGCACAGGATACCCAAGGGGTCAAGACTCTGACTCAGATCTGGAGACAAAGGCAGACTGGGGCACTGTAAAGAGCACCCAGGCAGAAGTCTGGGAGGTGTTTCTCAAAATGTGTCCCCTTGCTTTCTCAGAGGAGCTTCCAGGTGCTGAAGCAGGGGAGTAGGGAAGCTGAGCAGGTCCTTTCCTCACTTCAAGTATAGCAGATCCCTGTTATATGCTGGAGACAGTGGGACTCTCGGAGTCTGCAACAGAAAGCATTAGAAAAAAACCGGCTCTACTGCAAAGAAACAAACCAAGGAAACTTTGAAACCTATGTCTACAAACTATTAAAGGCCTTTGTCCTTGGGTGGTTTCCGAACCTCTTTGGCCCTTGTTTTCTCATCTATAAAATGAAGTTGGTGACCCCTGCAGGAAAGCAGTAGTCATAAAGGCACCTGGTGAGTTACACCATTCCTAGAGGTTGATAAGGTCCTAGGATGGGAGAGCCCCAGATACAGAGGGCAAGTCACAAGATCACAGGAACCAGAAACCTGACCCAAGATATCACTGTCTGGAGAACACGTATGTCCTGTCCCTCCCTGAGCCTCACTGTCCTGAATACAGACTGGACTTTACTCTCCAGGCCCACAAACATCACACCACGATCAGAAATAGAAGACACCTGATATCAGTTCATTTCTTCCCCCTCCCACTGTAAAACAAAACTTCGTTTAAACTCTCTGACCACCAATAAAACTCCCAAGTGCTTAGCACATGAGCAGCTCCCACTTCACTGGAGTTATTAATAATACTAGCACCTTCAATAATGTATATTGGTGTCTTTATTTCTAACCACCCGGCACCACATTCCCCCAGTTTCTGGCACCTCCGCTAGTTTTCAGCAATCCAGATCCTGAAATCTCCTAGAGGGCAGCTAGGCAGCAGCGTGGTTAGTGGAGGGCCAGTGGACAAGAGGGGATGAGGGCAGTTGAGTCTTGCCCCTAACCTGCCAGCCCAGAGCTGTGTGATCTTGAGCAAGTCACTTTAATCTCTTAGGGCCTTAACTGTCTCCACTAAAAAAGGGCAAACGTTTTCCTGTTTTCATCTGTAAGCCAGATGATTTCTAGTGACCCCTGGAACAGTGTCACTTGACACTCCTGGGCCAGAGTCCCATGCCAAGGTCTTATCTTCTTCTGTAACCCAGGACCCCATCTGCTGCCATCAACACCTAAGTAGGCACTTTGATAGTTCACTATTTATTCTCCACATTCCCAACACAGTCCCCAGACCTGAACCTCCATTCACTGCCCACTCTGCCCTGGCCCAGGTCAGGCTCTCATCATAATTAGCAGGAAATTTCTTCAGCAGCTTCCTAAAGAGTTGGCCTGACACTATCCTGTGAGCAGTGGCCTGGCCTGCCTGCATGACCCCAGCACACTGGTCATAAAGTCCCAGAAGCCAGCCAATGTGCTTTTTAACTGTTTGACCTCTGGCAAGTTATTCTTTCTGTCTCTCTTTTCCTCACCTATCAATGGAGATAACAGTACCCACCTCCTTAGTTGCTGTGGAGCTGAAATAAGTTATCACCCCAAGGGCTTAGAACAATCCCTCACACCTTGGTTAAGTGCTCCTAAGCAGCAGTGACTATTGTCATGCAAGCACAGCACCTTCCTTCACAGGGCAGCCTGTGCTGTCCCACCTCAGCATAGAGCTACTGGGCTTTACTTCATCCCCCACCCCACCTGCATGGGCCGCCTCCTCCTTCCTCCACTAGAAATATGGTCTTCCCTGCTACCTGCTCCTCTGAGCCCAACACAAAGACCGCACCCCCTCAATCCTGTCTGCTCTTTTTGCACCTCTTAATTTGGCACTCACTTCCCTTTACCTCTTCTAAATCCTTGTTTACAAGTCCCTCTCTCCAACGGGACAGTCGGCCCCTCCAAGAGAGAGACCAGACTCAGTCCCACTCTCCGCACTGCCTGTCCTGGTCTTCCCAAGGCCTGTCTCAGGAGGCTGCCAGGTCATGACTCAAGATTCTGCCCCAGAACAAAGAGGAACTTGCTGCATCCCTTTCCCTGCCCCCACCCCCAATCGCACCCTAGCAGCTGTGTACTGGCTAGACGGGGTTTTGGGGTGGGGGTGACCTGTGGGTGGGGTTTTTACTGTTTGGGAAAGGCAAAAAGAGTGAGATTTGGAGGCAAGAAGTCCTGGCTTTGCATCTCGATTCTACAGCTTAGCGGGCCACCATGGGCAGGTTCGTTCACCTCCGAACCTATTACCACCTCTATAAAATGGGCGAAGCAGTATCTACCGGAGTCAGTGTTACGGAGGTCTGAGCACTTGCAAGCCTATCTAATCGTCAGGACAATCTAGTCGGCAGAGTCTGGGGGAGTAGAGCGAGTGGGATGCCTGCGCCTTAAGGAAGCTCGCCCGCAGTGTAGCGGTCCCGCCACCCACTGACTTCACTAAGGGAGAGCAGCACGCCCGAGGGGAGGGGGTAGAAATGGGTGAGTTCTCGGCCAACACAAACATCCTGCACCACCCTAAGGAAAAAACAAAACTTGGAGGATGCGGCCGCTCCCCTCAGTGGAGCCTTTTATTTGAGGCGTCCGTGAGCCCCAGGGAGTCCAAATCCCGCCCCAGCACCTCAAACACAGTTTTGGGGAGGGGAGACAGTCTTTCTTGCCCCCAACCAGGAAAGTTCTAGCTTCTCCAGAGACGAATCTTCAGGTTACATAAGGCAAGCCCCACTTTGCAAGTGGATTCTGCTCATCCTCCACCCCAGACACGCCTCCTTTTTAAAAAAGAGGGGCCGCTCTGGTGAACCTAATCGATTGACGGTGGTAACCCCAAAGAGAAACAGAAAAGAAGTTTGGGAGCCTTGGGGGCTTGCAAGGTCGCCAGCAGAAGTGGGAGCAGACGGCGCCGCAGGAGCACAGTTGGGGGCGGGCGCCGCCAGGTTGCTTCCCGCCCACCTTCCTCCGAGCCCCGCAGGCTTGCAGCAGGGGGCGGGCACGGCGACGCACTGTCGTCCACCACCCCACCACCCACGGCCCGCCGCTGGAAATCGCGCTGGGTGTGAAGCCTCGTCCCTCCCCCACGGTGGGGCAGACCCAGATCGCTGGGGGCCTCGGGACTACCTGCACGGCGATGGCCGTCATGCTGCACCGAGGACCTGCCGCGCTCCCGCCTCGTTCCCTCCCGCCGCCGGGCTGCTGCCGCCCGCTCCCGTCTTGGAA